CCCCCCCCAGATTTGTATGTTGTAGTCCTAACCTCTTGGACCTCAGAACGGGGACATCGTTTAGAAAATAAGGTCATGGCCGACATAATTCTCTAAAAGTCACACCAGGGCAGGATGGGACGCAATCCAATCACTGGTGTCCTTATAAAGAGGGGACCTTTGGACGCAGACACACGGGGAAAGGCCGCGTGACCACGACGGGGGCGGCGCGCCTCCAAGCTGGGGGCGCCAAGGACGGCCGGTGCCCCCCCTCTCCCCCCCAGGAGCCAGGAGACGCACGGAACAGACTCAGGAGCCGATCAAGTCCGTTCAAAAGCCCGGTCTGAGGTCGTTTGTCCGACGGCCACGCCTCCTTCCGGGGGGGCGGGGCTCCGGGGTCCCCTGCTCCGCGGGGGCGAAAACCCCTCCCTCCCGGGCCCTTCCGCCCACGCACGCACCTCCTGTCGATCATCTGATAACACTTCTTCAGCCAGCCGATGCCAGGCATCCTCCGCCGGGGGGTGGCGCCGTTCAGGTAGACGATCATGTAGTCCTCGGCCACCAGCAGCTCCAGACTGCTGATGACGTACCTGGTCACGTGTGCGGAAGATGGGGGCCCGGCAGGGGGGGGCCAGAGTTAGGAAGCCCCGCCCCCCGTCCGCGGGACGGAGCGCCCGTGGGCGCCTGCGCTCTTTGCTGCCGCCGGCCGTGCTGGGCCAGCCCCGCCTGCTCGGGGTGGCGTGGCTGCAGACCCCGGCCCACCCCAAGTTAGTGGCCGTGGGCCTAGGGATAGCGGGGGTCACCATTTCACTAAGCACTTATTAGGCACCAAGGGTTTTACGCGCACGACAGCATCTAGCGTCTCCGATAATCCGGAGAGGGGGTCCCAACGGCCCCGGGGACGGCCGGGGAACCGGCACCCACGGTGGACGGCCCACCGCACCAGACGTCACGGCCCCGGGGTCCCGTCCCGGCCCCGTCTCTCCCTGAGCGACTTTAGAAACTCTTTTCTTTTTGTTTACTGTTATTATTATTTTTTTTAAATGTCTGTTTATTTTGACAGAGAGAGAGCGAGCAGGGGAGGGGCAGAGAGGGAGGTGGACAGAGGGTCCAAAGTGGGCTCCACGCTGTGAGCGCGGAGCCCGACGTGGGCCTTGAACTGGCGAGCCGCGAGATCATGACCTGAGCCACCCCGGTGCCCCAGAAAACCTTTTCCTCTGTCTCAGCCTCTACTTCCCCACCTGAAGGTGGGGGGTGGGGGGAGGCTGGGCTCCCTGGATTCTGGGGCCCCTTCCTGCCCTGACCTCCCCCAGGTGCCTCCTCGTCCTCTGAACCACCGGGCACCGGAGCCCCACCGAGTCAGAAGGAAACCTCCATAATCACTAGAACAGAAGTAGGTCACGTTTACTGAGCTCTTTCTGTCACCTGCCAGGTGCGTTACGCCATCGTTATGAAGCTGCACCCCTGTGTCCTTGGGCGAGTGACTGAACCTGTCTGTGTGTTGGGGGCTGCACCTGTAGGAGGAGGTGTCCGCCCCACAGGGTTGCCCGGAGCGTGGACTGCGTTTCCACACGTGAAGCGCGTGGCCTCGCGGGCCGCCAAAGAGTAAAGGCTCAGTAAGTGGGAGTGACGAGGGGTGGTCCTAGGAGCCTGGTCCAGCCCACGGGCTGGGGCTCTTGGAGCCATGGGCACGGGGTGCAGCGGGCGGGCGGGCCACTTACAGGAAGAGGTTCTCCATGATGTAGTGGTAGTCGGGCGAGCTGCTGTCCGGGAGGAAGCAGGCAGCGAACACGATGATGGCGTTGAGACCCTCGCCATAGTACCCTGGGGAGAGGCGGCCGGTGAGTGGCTCGCGCTCCGAGCTGCCCCGGGCTCTCCCCGGGGCTCCCACCCCCTCGCCAGCCAGCCCCTTCCTTCCCGGAGGGCACGGCTCTGAGTCATGGGAGCTCTTGGGGAGCCGCAGACCCCTGATCGGCCTGCCTCTGATGGGGACACCGGGCTTAACGCCCCTGTGTCTCGGATGAAGAGACTGAGCTTCAGAGGGAGCCTCTGATGACCCCCGGTCGGCCCGGCTGGAGCCAGGGGGAGCTCGCGGGGTGCGGTCTCACCTCCGTGGGTCACTACCCTCATGTAGGGTCGGATCATGTGCAGGTCAATCCGGTGTTCTTGTTCTCCGATGATCACCGTCCGCCAGAGGCGCCCGTTGGTGGCACCGCCGTCCTCCACTGCGCCGTCCCCGAACAGATCTGCACTGTCACCGGGCATGTTCTTCGCGGCGGCCACCGGGGTGTCATCTGGAAGCCAGCCGGGGGGGG